AATATGGTTTTTAGTTTTAATATTTTACAATGATCATCTGGCGAATACTGACAGACTTATTTGATCTGGAGTTTCTTATTTTCCTCCTGCTGATGTCTATATGTACATGCTACCATTGCACCGTAGGCTCTGAAAAATGTGACATTCGACCTAATTTTGAACAAAACTCACATTATAGCCATTACTTTTGATTGACTCATTTTAGAAGCAGACCCATTTCCTGTTTCCTGTTTATACCAGGTCCCACCTCTTTTACCTGGACACACCGGATCAGCACAGATACACAGCAGTATGTTTGTTCTTTAATATTATCCATTAGCACTTTAACCCTCTTGATTTGTAAACAAGCTCTCATTGTATCACGTGAAACATGTTGCAGAGCACACAGTGTCCGGGCTCCTGCTGGAGCTCTGCTCCTGTAAAACAAGTGCAGCTTTCTTCTCTATTCAGCTCCACCCTGAAGTTTCCCTGAATGGCATCACACAGTTACAAGTGTTTTAGCCTCCACTCACCTGCCCGTCATAATGCTTATGTCAGACTTGAGCTGTTGGTGGACGCAGGGTTAGTCCTGCATGCCTGTGAATAACTGAGCACCATATAACTTTGCAGCATATGGGGAGCTGCATTGTTGTTTCTCCTTTCTTTGTTTTTTTGTGATTATTTAATTTTAACACCAACCGTCCAAATTCTGAACTGGCCTGTAAATCTCTTTGTGTGTGCCTTAAGTTTTCAGCTAAGTCTGTGTTGCAGGACTGTGGGGCTTTTGCAGCACTTTCCCAACAGTGCTGACTCATATAATATTTGCAAATTAATTCACTATTGAGTTGAAGCACAATCCAAAGTGTATAAAAGATCTATATATTATTTATGGTTTCTTTTTGCAGTGAAGTAAACTTAGTGTTGTGAGTCGAGTCTGGCTTCAAATCCTCAGCAGCCTGTTTGTTTCTTTCTACTATATGACGATATAGCAACAGCTACAAAGTCAGTGCAGCACTTATTCATCATGATAACTGTAGCAAATGTTACAGCTTCCTCTTGATTTGTGGCCCTGTTTTTGTTTCTTAGAGTGGTCTTAATCCACTATTGTTTATTCACAGCTGTGTGAAAGAACAAACAGCGCCTTGCAAACTTGGAGCTTGTTTCCTGTGCTTGTGTGTCCACTTTTATATGCTTTTTTAAATCTCTTCGTGTCAAATCCGTCGGCTTTTGGTGAATCCATGTTGGCATGTTTTTAAGTCAGTGTTTTAGTTGTTTAATTGGGATGCTGAATTGATTGTGAGCCATCACCTTCTCAAAAGATTTAGTCAATAAATAAGACAAATGTTGGCCTGAGCAAACCTAATTTAGTGGCCACATGCGGAGCCAGGGGTCACGGCGCACTTCACAGGTTTGTTAAGAGGTTTAGTGTGTTTGTCGGTGCCAGACTCATAGCATTGTG